AATCATGACATCAGCCAATGATGAACTAAATCATGACATCAGCCAATGATGAACTGAATCTTGACATCAGCCAATGATGAACTAAATCATGACATCAGCCAATGATGAACTAAATCATGACATCAGCCAATGATGAACTGAATCTTGACATCAGCCAATGATGAACTAAATCATGACATCAGCCAATGATGAACTAAATCATGACATCAGCCAATGATGAACTAAATCATGACATCAGCCAATGATGAACTGAATCATGACATCAGCCAATGATGAACTAAATCATGACATCAGCCAATGATAAACTAAATCATGACATCAGCCAATGATAAACTAAATCATGACATCACACCATGATGAACTAAATCATGACATCAGCCAATGATGAACTGAATAATGACATCAGCCAATGATGAACTTTCATTTTCAAAATTATTGAAGGAACATTTATTACAAACATTGCAATTATATTGACCGTTCCTTGCTGAGACTAATCAAAAGCTATAGTAAAGTATCCCTGTAAATATATTAATCATTACATTTTCAAAACGACATTATAAATTGCATCAGAATGTTCGGAGAACAATGTGTTCGCCATTTTGAAAAATGAATTACTATAATATGTGCCTTAGAACAAGTTTCGTAGTTAACTTATCTACGATTATATTTGTATATCATTCGTATTATATTAACTTGACWTTAGCTGAGAAGCTTTTAATTCCCTTAAGAGTTATAATTTAGTGATTCCACTCCCACTTTTCAAAATGTGGACGCATTATTCTCCGTAAATACTGATGCATGTAATAACAATTTCACTCAGATATGCCAAGCTTTCTTGATCGATCTTCGCTTTTGAAATCTTTTATTCTGTCTTTTGTCTTCTCAATGTTTTCTCGAATCAGCAAAAAGTCTTCCTCTATTTGTGCAATAAACCTTTTCATGTCTGCTATCTCATTTGAGCAGAAGTCAAGTTTTGCATTTTCTATTTTAACTTCGTTATCTTCAGGTTTAGCGTTCTGAAGCTTTCCTGGGATTTCGCCTTCAAACATCTCTACGGTTCGYAGRAAAACACTCGAGCGTTGCCTAGGTGTAACAACTTTTTCTGGCGAAAATTCTCTGGCAAGTAGCTCATCTGCAGTAATTCTCTCTCTTTCATTGTTCTTTTTTGGTGTTRCCTTTATTGGTGACTTGGATCTTTTGAAGCTTTTTGTTGCAGATAAATGAGACCATCTAGACGTTGGACTTTTTCTCTCAGTTCCTCTTGAAAYACTTTCTTCGTTGCTCTTCTTCGGCCATGTTTTCAATACAGAATCAGTTTTTATTGACTCAAGAGAAGAGTCATACTTTCCTCTCGGTGAATTGCTTCCAATATTTTGCTCGGTTTGTCTTTTATTGCCTGGCTCAGTCCTCTTCGGCCATGTCTTCAACGAARTATTTCTTRAAAGCTCCAGGTAAGAAGCACTTTTTTCYTTCAGCGAATYGTTTCGCAAATTGGAATCGATCGGTTTAAGATTACTTCTCCAAGTCGACGCTACAGCCATATTAGGACTCACTTCTGTATGCAAAGATTATAATGTTAAAAATTCTGCATGTCGCACTTATCTGAAGAAGTTAAGCGCTGAATAAGCTGGAAAGTAATCAATATTTAAAATGTGTTACCTGCTCTTGACCGTCACTCTTTCAATATAACTGAAAGCAGGCAATTATTAATACCCACACCAATCTTCCAGTCCTATAAAGGCTTTATGAAAGTCCAATAATAGCTTGATTAATGCAATTATTCTTCGTAAAGAGCAAGATCCACAAGTTAGCAATAGCTATAAAATGTTCAGTATTCGGTGTATAAAGCGAAAAAACGTTTGCAGTATACAGTWCAATTCTTCAAAAAACTCATTGTCTTGAMAAGGAAGGCGCCGCAATCAATATCTCCACCGACTAATTGCTTATTTCCAAAGCAAACAAGAATATCACAGACCCTTGGTTTGTTTGCCTTCGTGACTGTTCATCGGCAAATGTTTGCTTTTAGCAGCGTRGAATAAAGCTAGTAATCACAGAACAATTGTTTCAAGATATTAGCGGTTGACCAATTAACGAGATGTTTGTTGAAATGCTATTAAAACTGTTTATTGTTCTCAAGGAACATTAGCATAAACATACTTATAAAGCACTTTTAGATACAACGCTTAATTGATTTTTAACAAACTTATAAACGAGTTGTGATCGACCTGTTTTTTTTTATGACGTACTTTGATTGGACGACTGTTTTTAGGATGTATAATTAATTCACTTTGAATGAGAACTGTGTTTAGTTCATTCTTCATTTCCAGTAGTTCACGCAGTGTGTTTGTTGATGCTCTTCTTGTCAATAGAGATAACGAAAGAAAACAATAGATTCAGAGTGTGTTACAGCTTGCGACCACACTAGCTAGGTGGACGCCTTTTTCCAGCTCAAAGCGAGCAATCGCGGTTTTTGTAGACAACAGACTCATTTTCTCAAAGATCTTAGCACTAACAAAAGAAGGCATGAAAAAAWTTCTTCATTACAACAGCCTTTAAAATTTCCATTCTCTCTGAATTGAGGCTAAAGCCTGTAGTCCCAGAAGGTTTTAACTCTATAGGCATTGTGGAAATACAGGCTCCCTACTCGACCYCATTTTGGATAGGTATTAAGTGCCGCCAGCGGTCTAAATCCCTGACCCTGTTTAAGACACTAGAAAGTGAAAATCCATACCCTGTTCAAGACAAATCGGAAAAATAAGGAATAGCAATCTGCGCCGCAACCATCAAAAGTGCAATTATACTGACATCCATCAAAGACAATAAGAAGTTTTTGATAACACGTTAATCCTGGGACAGTGAAACGGTATTTCTATTATTTCTACGGTATTTCTTATGAAAATATTACTCTGTCTAGGACACACAAAAAGATATATCGGTCCTCTATCTAAATTGTCGAGCCTGTTTAAGACAATTTCGGGTGAAATGTATACCCTGTTTAAGACAGCAAGGCCAAAAACCATACCCTGGCCAGCGGCACGTCCCCGTCATACCAAATATATATGGGAGTACCAAATATCGAAAAACTATTACCACCACTGGAAAGAACAGTATAAAATTAGTATGTTTGCCGG